TCCTCTATGGTGAAGTTACTACCTACGCATGAAACTGATCGAGGAGCAGCACCTATAACATAAACTAATTTTCTGTAATTTGTTGAAGAACTACCTGCATAGACCATATAGACCATATTTCCTGCTCCTGATAAGAGAAGGAACTCGGAGAAAATGAGGATGAGGTAGCAATATCGCCCCATTCGAACGAAATCTTCGAAAGGCCGCACATTCGCTAATGTTATCGGCTTTTCTGAGTCAACTACCTCATAATCTGCAGCCGAGGACATCGCCTGTAACAAGTAACTTGAAGAACGAATAAGAATAATAGGAACAGATGCTATCCAAAATTCAAATTATGTTTGAAAGGCATCCAAACTATCAGAAAAATTCTGCCGGGGGAAGAGCATTTTGTATGTTTTATTATTCAATCATATGTAAAACCGCATGTTTAAGAAGATTATCCTCTTAATTTCCATTTTCGCATATTCTTTCGACTCTTTTTGGATGGCTGTTACTTTTCTCTTTCATCTTTGCCTAAAATCCTTAAATTTTGGACACTTGATCGCAGAAATGTTCGGAAACAATTTTGATACAGATAAGCCTGTGAAGAATATTCGTAAGAAAGGTGTCTTCCATATAATCGGAAGGCTTGAAGACCTCGATAAACTAAGACAGGGACTTTGGAGAAAAGGAGTCAAATCAGAAAAATCTCTCCCGAACAAAGTAAGCACAAGATCCGAACACGACTACGGAATCAAAAAATGAAGAATCATAATCCACCAGATGTTTGATGCCAGAATACATGATAGATTACGAAAAAAGAAAAAACCCACGTCTAAGGTGGAAGAGTTGTTTGCCTGTTTTTTTCACAACGAAAGTAGCTGCAAGTAATACAGGTTTTCATAATGAAAAAACACAACCAAGATTACATACCTTATTTGGATAAGGTGATTAAGCACTTCCCGAATGACTACATTCGGAAAGCTCATAGCTCATATCGCTGTTTTTATTAAAAAATATCGTCATCTGATAGTGCGTAATGTGACTTTTGCCATTTTTATTAAACTGGAAAATATTTTTATTTTACAATAGGAAACTTCCATACCTGTGGTCACTGTTCATTGGAGTTTATCATGACAAACTGAAAACATTTACTTTCATGATGAATCAAACTCATAATCGCATGAGCAAATAGGCAACGATGACTTCCTCAGAAGATGACCAAAATAGAACTTTTATTTCTTATTAAGCAAAAAACGTAAAACAACAATGAACAACAATGATTTCAAACAAAGAGTGGGGATAACGCAAGATATTTTTCAAAATGATGGAGGAAATACACGTGGGCCCAAAGGAAATAGTTCAATGTTGGAATTGCGAAGAGGCGGAGTCGAAGGCAAAGCTGGAATAGAAACCTTAGAAAACTTTCCAGTCTCTGTTGGATTCCTGACAGTAGAGATTTCTTCGATAGCTTTGCTAAATCTAGAAGTGTATTATATTTTCTGATTATGGATAACCTCTGGAATTCATTGCTAACGTCCGTTGTTTCTGAAGATTGGGTTACTGTCGAGGAAGCCGATAACTGGGTCGTCGAAGGCGTGGAAGGAAAAGGATAAACTAATGAATCAATCAAAGGACGAAATTGGTTATGCTCTGGGTTGGTTCTAATAAGACATTCTTTACAACTGAAGAAAAAATTGATGTTTACCCAAATTTTCTACTATTTCCTCCGAGGAGCTCACGATTAACAACGAGTGGGTTAAGTTGTGGGGGAATCATCGATCTAATAATTCGTGGAGCTGGTGGAGCTGTTTTAACAAAGTCTGTCTGAGTAACTCTGTCAATCTTGACACAAGGGGAATAACCTGAAGCTGGAGAGTATAAAACAAGAATCAAATGTGTTTACGTGTATGATCTGGACAGATAGATGCCGTGTACTTTTCGTATACGTTTTTCAACTTTTCTAGTGGTACTTTAGTAGGGTCAATAGTGTCAATGACATTTTCCTAAATATAGGCTCGATAAAACATCACAACGATATTACTTACCTTGTTCTTGTGGTTACATTTCACATGATAACTAGCAAAAGCAGCAGTGAAGAATTTAGCTCTACACATGGAACATTGATAAAGTGCAATTTCTGAGACAATGAATGATGAAAAAAAGTTAAATTGAACACTCCAACCTTCGTGTTCCACAGCAATGTGTTCGAGTAAGACGCCCAAATGAAACCCGGGGTTTGTGTTTTTACAAATGCAACATTTGAACAAAGCTTTTGTTGTCATTCTTAAATCGTAATAAGCTTGAGTATTAGACTTATGAGATATTCAGAATATTTCGAAATGTATCTTGTTTCACAATAACTTTATGATCAGGAATTTGACACTGAAGGACAATTGGAGAATAATCAGATAATAAATATATTAACAACCGCTTCGAACGTCAACAGTTTTAAAAAAAGACAATTAGCAATAGAGCGCAAAACACCTCAGGCAATGTGAATGATGTGTTGACCGAATATTATGGAATATCTAGCCGTACCGTTTCTAGAACTCGTACTCATAAACAATAACAACTCGGACCGGATGACCTGTTTCGGGATGAAAAAGCTTGTACTTCAATAGGAATTATGTGATACATATATACAACGATGGTCAGTTAATAGTATGAAACCCATTCAAATGCATGGCTGTACATGAAAGCTGGAGCTCCCAGAAAACAAAATATGCAAATCATGAAGACACTGAAAGAATAAAAGGAAAGAAGCAACACACATTCGTTTGAAATCATGAAATGCGACCTTAACAAGTCATTAGTATTCATTCTCATCTTTCCATTGTGCATCCAGGTGAAATTTAAGGCAATTATTCTTTGCAATGACGATTTAGGCTTCTTTCTTATCGATGTTAGGTAAAGATTCTGAAGATAATAAAGCGTTTTGTGGGTTTTGCCAAATTCTTAGCATAAGATTCAGGATTCGGTTGCTGACCACCACAAATAATGATGATTTGGTTGGAATGATCAGGTAGTTGGAAGCAATGATCAAAATTGGTTAAATTTCAGGGAACACTGTGTTCTGGTGACTCCAAACGATTTGTGCCACAAACTCTTAGATGAGTTCGGGGTAAGATAATCTTCTAGAGTATGAAGTCTCTCTGATTTTTGAGCATCAAATCGTGAGTGCTATAATAGTAGTATTGCGAACTCATGCTGATGTGTGTGGGCAATTTGTTTTGGGCTGCACCCAAGACAAGTCACAGATCAATCATTTATGGAATTTACAGTTGCCTGATGAAGTTGAAATTACTGAGGGTCCGCATATTTATCAGGTTCCTGCGTTCAATATCTTGTGAAAGAATAATAAGATTGAGGAGAAGAAAGAGTATAATGTTTTACACCTTACTGATCCTCATATTGACATGGACTATGCCGAAGGATCAGAAGCTGATTGTCAAACAAGGCAAACTCTGGGACAAATTCTTTTGTGTTGCAGACAAGACAATAGTTCGCTTTCTAATGGTTAGTCGAATTAGTTACCATGAAATTGTCTGATCAACTATAACAACTTCAGAAATTAAGATGCCTGCAGGTAAGTGGGGGATGCCAATGCATTGTGATCCGCCTTACAGACTTTTCGAGAGTGCTCTCGACTATATCAGACAAAATATTAGCAGAGTACTCAAATTAGTCATATCAGAAATCTAGAGAATATTCAGATCGATTATATCATTCTTACCGGTGATTATGATGTTCATACGATATGGGACGGAGATTATAAGAGAGTTGTAGAACGCTTCATAAATACTACTGAAACAATCAAGAATTTCTTCCCTAACACGCCATTATACGTGACAATTGGAAATCATGAGGGTGACCCATCAGATTCGTTCTTATTTCATTTTCTTTATTTTGCAAAAGTTTCTGTTCCATAAGGTTTCCATCGAAGAGAAGTGCTATTTTAACAAACAGCTCCACAAATGCCAGAGATGAAGTATATAAAGCCCTGAAAACAATTATGGAACCCCTCTTACCTGAAAACTCTTCATCGTCCATTTTGGAGTTGTTTTTCTGTTCAACTAATTTCATATCTTGGAAAATGTTTCAGAACAGGAAGTTACTCTATTAAACCATTTCCTGGTCTCAAACTTATATTTATAAACAATAATTACTGTTCCGATCTCAATTTGTAAGTCTTACTTGGTTTCAGAGAAAAATGTTTTTATTTAGTTTAATATATACGGATCTCGTCGATCCTGATGGAGTTATCCAGTGGTTGATTGAAGAGCTAACTGATTCTGAGAAAAATCAAGAAAAGGTTTGTTAATAGAAGTTTGTTATGGCTTAAATCGTTTGAAGGTTCATATAATCGGTCATATCCCACCTGTGGGAACTTGCCTACGAGGATGGGCAAACATGTTCCTGAAGACTGTTCGAAGGTTTTCATTTTAAAGCTTTTATTGTATGCCGATGGTGTTGTAGGTTCAGTAATACTATAGAAGGTGAACTATACGGGCACACCCATCATGACCAATTTACTGTAAGCTTCATTCATTAAGTTCTTTAACACGTTAGAATTTTGAGGTTTATCGTGATGGAAGCAAACCATTTGGTTCTGCATTTGTTTCTCCATCATTTTCAACATTTCCGGGACAAAATCCTGCGTTTAGAACTTATAAAATGAATGAGGAATTCAAAGTTTGAACTATTTTGAACAGAAAATAATGAAAAATATCAAAGATTGAAGATATTGAGACTTACTCGGCGGATATAATGAAAGCCAATCTTCTGGGAACGCAGCCGGTTTGGTTTCAGGAATACAGCTTTAAGGTGTTTCAAAGAAGATTTTACAAAAAGATGATCATATACTTTAAAGAAAATGTACGACTTGCCAGATTTGGACCTGTCAACCTTGCATAACTTGACGAAAATTCTTAGTAATCCATTCTATTTTGAAAGATATGAGTAGTAAGTATATTCTGTTTTAGAAATTAAAAAAAAACAATATTTTAAGTTTGTATTGGAAAAATTGGAGAAGCATGTGCTCTACAACCGGCTGTCGTAACCAAATAAGGAGCCAATTAACTTTGAACATAAAATAATCATGTCTTATCCCGGAAATTCGAAATTGAATCCTTTTTTTGTATTCATGTCGGCTATGTATTCGAGCGTGTTCAAATTGAAGTAGAAAGCGTCTGAGTATTTCCACTTATCATTGTTCTCCAAAGCCTTGTTCTGAATTACATACAGTATATCTCGTATCTTATCTTTGTATTTCTCGGCCACCTGCAATGAAGATTTATTATTCATTTCAATCTGATATGCTCTTCCTTACAAAACTATGAGCTCCATTTTCTATCTGACTCATGGCGTTTCTAGGGTTTATTCCCATTTCGTAATGATCAAGTCTCCAATACGCATTAACAACCTGAAATTTGAATATTTTTGATATGGGCTAACCGAAGTGAACCTTTTGTGCATCTGACGATCCAATCTCAGTAGTCAATTGATTTTTAACAAAAGTGTTAATTAGAGGTCTCAAGTAGGAGCGCATGGTAACAAATTCGGTGAGTCTCTCTAGAGCATATGTCCGATTGTCATAAAATGTGTTCGACTTCACTTTGACGGTGCCCTGGACAAGAATTATTATAAATAAACACTAAAATAATCAAGAAAATACAAAATTTTTTGAAGTCCAGTTTTTGAGTCTTGTTATCTGCTGAGCCAATGTTTTGTCCTTATTTAAGTTTTGAGATAACTGTATTAATAAAGTAAGAAATAAAAATGAAAGTTGATTGAAACCTTCTGAATGTTAGCCCAGGTAGCATGAAGTAAGAACTTACGAAAGTATGTTGGATGGAACGTTTGACAATTCAACGAAGGTGCACATGTCAGTATGATGACCAAACCAAAAATTAGAAATGTTGGCCTCATTGCTGTATTAAACAACTGCAGAATGAAAATTTTTTTTGGAAGTTCATAATGGAAGAGATTTTTGATTGGAGTAACAGTTAATCTATATAATACAATAGATTATACTTTATGTCTTTATTGGTATTATATGAATATAGTTTGTACCAATGAACTGTAACCACTTGCCACGTCTACTACCAAAGGATAACTACATACATGTATGTATGTTGCAATTACGCTGTAGATGCGACAAAAGTCGTTATGATGTGAACCTCCTATCTTTCAATATATGAAATGAGTATATGAACAGTATATTCCTTTAAACGTTTATTCTTATAACATTACAAATCAATATTATTTTCCAAAAGCGGGAGGAATCTCACCCATATAAGGGTATCTACATAACATATGTGGTAAATAATCCAATAAGATTCTTCCACCCTTGCTGTTATCCTTGAGTGATTCATCTTCCAAAGTATAGCTCATCGAGAATAAACCATCTCTCTTAGCTTCTGGCACCTGAAGTTAGGATAGGTTATGAGAAACTATCAAAATTGAGCACTTCTCCGTGAATCATTTGTAGGGAATCAACCATAGCCACCATATGATGTATTCCGTCATACATTCGATCCAAAATCCAGAAACGGTCCGTAATCTGAATGATTAAGATATTTGATGAAAGAATATGAAAAATACTTTTTTCGATAAAGGTGCTCCATACTCTTTGGTTAAGACTGGTGTTGCGCAGTTTTTGATGAACTTCGAGATTGCTTCACGGTACTCCAAAAACTGCAGGGCTTGATTCAAAACTAACGTTTTGTTATCGAAATCGGCGAAACTTTTTGTACTCATGGTTCCCTGTAAGACAGACTTTACTCATGCACTGAAGTTTCACTAACAAAGTTGTTTTTATGCCAATTCTGCATTCTTTTCTTGCGTGCTGCTAAGTTGGAATCGCCATTGAGCCCTTTGGCAAGCTGTATCAGTTTATGTAGCAAAAAAATAAAAGTGTAACTTACATTAAAAAGCTTTTGATATCCAGCATAGTTATAGATGTGAACAAAGAAAGAAGCTTCAAACTTCACTTGAGCTTCTGTCGTTGGAAACGACAAAGTCAGGAGAAGGATGAAGGCCGTACCTGACAAGAGCATTTCGGATAGAAAAGTGAATGAAAACTATTAGAACGTAAACCTTTGAAGTTTAGCCAAAAAAAAGGAGAAGAAGAGGTTACACATCATATGTTATAGAGAGAGACGAGAGAAGATAGAAAACGTTTGATATAGATAAATGAAAAGAGAAATAGATTATCTATAGTATAACCATGACGATAATAAGAGCTTGAGAGAGAGAGAAGAAAAAACGCAAATCTGATTATCCCGGTTACAAAAATTTTGTGTTTCATCGAACTTTTAATTTTTTGAACATTCATCATAGACATAGGCTACCGAATGAATGAAGGGAAAGGAAGTTGTTATTTTTATTTCTGCTTCAAAAATTCATATTAGAATCCCTCAAATTGATGGTTGTTTTGAGACAAGGAGGTTTCCCTCATATTCACGTGATGGAAACATACATGTGAGAGAATTTATGGTCATCTTTGAACTTTTAAAAGCATCAATTTGCAATGAAAATATAAAAAAAAAGAAATGAAAGTAAGATTTTTCTTTTAATTATCTCATCAATATATTTCCATAATTAGCTTCTCTTGCTCTCTTGCAATGCCAAATTTACATTTTTATCTCATTTTAAAAAAAAAAATACAAAATTAAAATATTTTTCTTTGAAAGCCGACCATTTTCTTCATTTCCGCTTGCAAATGCTCTTTTTCATCTGTCAAGAGTTCCTCACACCCTTCTTTCCTGTCTTTTGCTACAACATTTCTCTTTTCATCTCCCTGTCAATCTCTGTTTTTGTCTCTCTCTCTCTCCCCCTCTGTCTTTCTTTCTCATTTTTCTCTTTAAAGCTTATTCGGAATACTTTTAGGTTGCTTATTCTTCATAAGCTCTCGCTCAGCCCCCTTCTCAATATCCTTTTGTAAAATATAATGTTTTATTTAAAAAAATGTTCAAAAATGAGATAATTAGCTGAGCTTAAATATGAATATTCAATCATTCTCATTATTCAAAAATTTACATTGTATATTATATTATTTGAATAATATTTTAAATTTTCTTATACAATTCATGGTTAAGCGCTGTGGTGATGTAGTAGTACCCAGCCATCTCCCCCCTCCCTTCATCAACCTATAGCATCATCATTCTCTTTCAATGTTTTTATTTCTTTTTCATACAATCTTTGTAGTGGTGACAAGCAATGTTTCTACTGCTGCTGCTGCTGCTACTGGCTACACAAGAAATTGTCTCTTTTTCGAAATCCTTGAATCGCAAAGATTTTTAGTTTTTTTAGAAAAACTTGGATTCGATTTCATTTTTGTGAGAAAATTTTCATTTCATTCATTCCAAATATTGGAATAACCCTGAGGGCATAGATGACTATGTTGTCTTCTACTCTCCCTCTTTCCTTCTTTTTTTTTGTTACAAATTTCTTTTTATTTTTTTACGTTTTTTAACATTAATTTTTTAAAACAAGCAGAAAAGCAAAAAAAAAGAGTTGAAAGAGCATGAAGAGTAGAGAGGAATTGCTGTGATAGAGAGAGAAGGAGAGAAGGTGAGAGATGAAGCTCAAATCAACCGTTCAGTGCATTTGCTTGAAGTTAAAATGAAAATGACGTGAAAGAGAATTGCGTGAAAATCAATTACCGTACTTTTATGCTAATTTGCGGAAAAAGCCATTGTTTGGAGAAAATAATAAAACAAGAGAGTGAGCAAAAAAAAATTTAAATTTATATAATATTAAATAATTAAGAGAATAGAAGTCACTATATATTCATTTGTATTTTTTTTTCCAAGTAAAATGTAAATGAGAAAAAATAAAATGGCAGACAGTAAATAATGAGAAAAGAGATGGAAACGAAGGTAGATAAATGAATGAAGAGGAAAGAAAGAGAGACAAAGAAGAGTTAAGAGAGAGAAAGATGTTAAAAAGATGTGAGAGAAAAACGAAAAAAAGACTCAGAAGAACTAAGAGAAGAGGGGAAATGAGACTAAGAGGAGTTAAGAGAGAGTGCGGAATATGATACGAATTTTTGAGAGAGACGGAAATGAGACAGAGATGTAGAAAGGGAGGAGGAAAGGAGGTTGTGAGATAAAACAGGGTCAGAATATTCATAACAATATGTTTCTTATTGTGTCGAAAAATTCAAATTTTTCTCCTTCCCTTCCTCCATTTCACATCGTGAAGGCTTGAAACGAAGAAAAATAAAAAGAAATTTTCTCTTTTTTCTTCACTCATTTTCTCTCTCTAAAAATTTTTGTCATTTTTTTTCCTTTTTTTTTCTCTTTTGCGTGAATTCTAATATTATTTTTCTCTTTTTCTTACCTGCATTGCTTCCTTTTGTTCGGAAAAAAAATTTTTTTTTTGTTTTTTTTTCTTCGTCTTTTCTCTTCACAAGAAGTCTCTTCTGAAGGGACAGGGGCTGAATTTCAGTTTTATTGTCTTTCACACTCCTTTTTACTTTCAAAAATCTTATGACATTAACTGGGCTTTCATTTAGAAATGCTTCTTTTAAAAAGTATTTTAAGAGGCCTATTTGCCTTAGAAACGGATTGACTTGAAACGACAACGAAAAAGGCCGTTTTGTGGTTTCTGTTCTCCCAATCATCATACACCATATATGTATCTATGTATATTATATTAACTAAATGATCTTTCACAAAAAGCTTCAAAATGTAAAAGTTGAAAAATCACTTGTGGCAGAATAGACTCTCGTTGACGTTTGTTGTGTGTCATCTCATTTTCGGCTTCATGTCGTTTTCCGGAGATTCTAAGAGCCGATGCTCGGCCACTCACAATTCCATAAATGCGAATTTCAACGTCGTCATTCGAATTTATTTTTTTTTCCTCTTTCTTCTTCACTTTCTTTTTTTTTTTTGCTTCCTCCTTCTTGAGAATATTTTTCGTATTAACTATCAGCATTGATTGGCAGAGAAACAATCAAGTAGGAACACTATGCGGATAAGCTTCAACAAGGATGATGCATGATGTGAAAGCTTGAGCTCTCAGCTCATACTCTATTTCCGAGCTTTTATAATCAATTTTCAACTCAAATTTTTTGATGAGAAAACCTCAAATTCTATCTTAAATGTATTTTGTCTTCATCAAACATCTGCTAATTATTCACATTTTTAACAAAAAAATCAAAGATCTTACATATCCTTTGGGAATTTTATAGGCTTTTCCCTCTCAAACCAACTTTCTTGCTTGAAGCTTATGCTATATAGTTAATGAAGAATCTTTATATATATATATATATATATTTCTGTGATAGTTCGCATAAATCTTGTTTGATCACACTTTTGTCATTTGAATGTGTCATTCTCGGCTATCTGAATGAACTTTTAGGAATTCCTTTTTTTCTTTTCATTTCTCAGCTTCATTCCCGGAAGATAACCTCAGCTTTCATTCTAAACTGATTTTTCCTTTCAATTTTTTCAAATAGAAGCATGAGAGAATATTTCTATTTTCAGAGAATATTTGTCATTATTTTCTCTCTTTATTCGTCTCTTTTTGATTGCGAGAGACAGAGAGAAGAAAATTGAGAGAGAGAGAGAGAGTTAGAATGAAAATGGGAAAGATGAAGGGAAGTAGGATAAATTAATAATAACTTAAACTTTTATTTTATTTTTCTAAAAATTCAATCTCTTCTTTTGTTATTGTGTGAGTGAGGGATTGGGATAACAAAAATCAGACTGAAGAGAGCTGAAAGAAAAAAGAGAAAAAGGGGTGGGAAGTAAGGTACAGAGGTTGTTCAAGATAAAAAGAGATTCATATCTCCAAAGAAGGCAGGCACACACTTAGTTCTTTGAGCAAAGTAGCTGTTCGTGAGAAATTGTAATTGAATCTTCAGTTTATTTCAAAGTTGTCAATAGAATTTATAATTCTTCTCTATATTTGTGATCATCCTATCATTCCAAGTGAGAGGAGGAAGTCCTTCTTTTCTTTTTTCTTCTTTTTTTTTCCCTAATAAAAATATTTTTTTTGGAGGTTGGGAGAGGAGAGGAAGGGAGTCCAGAGTCCGGAGGAAAACAAACTCCATGACTTGAGCTTTTAAATTTGCAATGCTTCATCTATAGTTTGTTTTCCATAAAAGCTGTTTGAAGACACAGTTAGTGAAAGTTTGAAGTTAATTTGATTTTCTTCTGAATTTTCAAACATCCACACCCATTTTCCACCAATATCCCTCTGGGCGAACTCTGTGATTTCCTTTTTTTCTCTACCCATTCGTCTCTCCCTCGTCCCTCCCTTGATTTCACTCTCTTGTTCTCTCTCTATCCGTAACTCATTCTCTCTCTATTGTCATTTATTCATTTCTTCACTTTTACAAATTGAAATATTCATAATATATATAATTCACAATGAAGTTTATAAACTTCAGAGTTTTTACAATCCAAGTTTGAACTGTCAAATCAACAATGGAGTACTTATCTCGTGAGAAGCTGCTGACAGAAATTGAAATTCGTGATGAGATAATTGAAAACCTTCGTCGGGTAAGATGCATCAGTAGGTATGGCATTCAATTATCACGCAATTTAAGGAACTGGACTCATTCCGTAATAGTAATCATTCACGTAAAACAGCTGTCTCATCTGAAGCCGAAAATGCTTCGAAGCCAGCATGTGTTGTCGGCAAAAGCGATGAGTAAGTATTGCCTTCTTTCTTCATTTCCTCACCGTAGTTTCTGTTTAAATCCTTTTTTTTCAACAAAAAAATAACATTAAAAAGAAAACAAAGTGTTCCAAGTGATAAAGGATTAACTGTTTCTCTCCCTCTCTCATTTGCATCTATTGCTCCTCACTCTTTCCCTTTCTCTCTCTTCTCGTTCGTTTAGAACTAAGCTAAGTATAAACATAATTTATTCAAAGCAAAATAAACAACTTGATCGGTCAGGTTGAAACACCTCGACCATGATGTTCTTCGAACAAGCATAACAAAACCATTTTGGAAACTTCCTCGTGAAAGTAGCGAAACGTTAGTCAGAGTAAAGCTACTGCACACACTTTTCGGATGGAATGAGCTTAAAGGTCAAAGCTGGAGAAAAAATGTTTTCTCTTCATTTCTACAACTTATATCCAGTTAGCGGTCGTTCTTAGAAGAAGTATGTATAGGAGAGGAAAGGAATGCAAGTTACAACTAGCTATGAACCGAGAAGAATGATAAAAATTGAAGGAAAAAGAGAAGAATTTATTTAATTCGTTTTAAAGTTATAATCCAAATTGACGAGCATACAGATTACTTACTCTTTCATCTAGGAAATAGCTTGCAAGAAGAGGAGGCAAGCAGAGAAAAAAAATCTGAGAAAGAGCATTTTTTGCAAAAAAGCTGAAGAAAAAGCATAAAATGCAAGTTGCTATCCGTTTTAGCAGCAGAGATACCTTCAAACGGAATAGACAAATTAAGCTTTTCCCCCTCTGCATCTCATTTTGCGTTCCGTCAGCGAGACGTTGAACGGTCGTCAACGGTTTTCCGACGTCATCAGCTCGTCCTCCCCATTGCTTGCAGAGAGTACAAGTGACAGAACATTCTGAGTATTACGGACGTCGCCATCAGTCGTCCATCACTTCTGACAATTTCATTTGGAGATTTATATTTTCTCCATCACCTAAATAAATCCAGAAAAAAAGATAGAAAAAGCTGTGTGAGAGTTAGAGTGAGAGAGAGTGTGTGTGTGTGAGCTAGAGTATAAAGAAGAGAGAAAAAGAAGAAGCTAAATTTGAATATTTTGATTGAGAAAAAAATAAGTCAGAAATGCGTTTCCGTTCAAATTTCCTTCGTTCACGCACTTCACGTTACATCCCAGTAAGGTATGGTTCTATTCATTTACTCTCCTGCCACAACATCAAAAAAAACCAAGAAGCTGCATCTTCACTTGGCTATTTCCATCAGATGAAATTTTTTTTATTTTCAGAGCTTTTGAGAATATCGAACATGCACTTCGTTCCAATGCCTTCTTGAGTAATCTTGATTCGAATCAGATTGATCGTGTTGCTTCTTCAATGTTTCCAATTGAGGTTTTTTTCTGTTTCAAATAGATAAAAAAAACTTTTTTTTGACTTCTGCTCATCCTCGTCTTCTTTCGCTTTCTTACAAAACATTTCAAAATGAAAAATGAACCTAAAGAAAGGACATAAAGAGCAAAACAAGAGCACAAACACTTTCTTTATGTCGTTCTTGATATTTCAGGTTCCCCAAGGGGCGACCATCATCCGACAAGGAGATCTTGGTAATACCATGTATGTCATCCAAGGTATTAAACATCAAAATAGCTCATTAACCAGCTTTTCTATTTTCATTACAGAAGGATCTGTTCAAGTCTTAAAAGACAACAAGTTTATTCGTACAATGGAAGCTGGTGCACTGTTTGGAGAATTGGCTATTCTGCATCACTCTGAACGTACAGCTACAGTCCGAGGTATGTTAATGAACTTGAAACACGTGGAGCTACACGTCAATGCTAAGCTAATGTCATTTTGCAATTATTTGAAGAAAGCAGAGCGGTTGATGTGTTTTTTACTTTCACGAATAAATAAAAAAAATATTTTCTTTATTTACTTGCAGCTATATGGCCATGCAAGTTATGGGCAATTGAACGAAGTGTTTTCCATACCATCATGGTTGAAACAGCTCATGAAAGACGAACAGCTATTAAACGTCATTTGAAATGGTAAACGAATATTCCTCTTCAGAATCTCAACCTCCTCCATCTTATTTCATTTTTCATAAGCTTACACGTTATTACTTTTTTAGGTCTCAACGTTTCTCCAGTTGCGCTGATCATGAGCTTAATCGCATAGCTGATTTGTGTGTTGAAGTCAAAATTCCAGCCGGCAGATCAGCATTAGTGCAGCCGAAATATCTCTATGTTGTCACCAAGGGACAAGTAAGTGTTAGAACAAAATATTTTCTTTTTCTTCAAAAGATATATTTTATAAAACAAAAAAAAAACCAGACAATCATTTGGTTAAACATTGAAAGTTCAAATAAACTGTTCAGTGGAGGTTACAACTTTAAAAAAAAAAACATCTATTCCGAATTGAACTCAGAAGCAAGGACCTATTGACTCAATGTTGGCCTATTTCATTACAAAACTCATCTTGATAGTATAAGGGATCGGTTTTAATCTGAATGAGCCGGAAGCTGCTTCTGATGTGTCGTTGAACTCTCTCTATCTATCTCTTCATTTATCTTTCTCTCTCTCTCTCTTCTTTTTCTACCTCAAACTTGCTTTCTATCATCTTCTCTCTATCTCTTTTGAATGAAAGCCAAAATTTGAAGAAAATCTGATAAAACTTATGAAGCGCAATCAGCTAATCGGTTGATTATTCAATTTTTATCTTTTTTTTTCTCAAAAATAAACTTCTACCGTATTTGATAAAAGTGTTACGGTAGATCAATCTATTTTTGTCAATTTTGTGTGATAAAATGATAACAGGAGGTGCTGGGGATTAGGCGAGGCAAACGTTTTGATATGAGTAAGACATTTTGATCTCACGAATGCTCTTAGACCGTCAGTGGTAAACGGAAGAATAAAGAAAAATGAAAGTTCATTAAATTTTCTTCCTTTTGACTCTATTTTTTTTTTATCGAAAATACCAATTAAAATCTGAGATAATTGGCTTTTTTTTGCTCATCGAAAGAATATCCAAAGAGTGAAACGGCACAAGGGATGCAGAGAAGGCGGCAAACAGAGAGGGACAGTGATTGATACAAGAGGGAAGTAAGCTGGAAACGAAAGCCTAATCAACCTCAATATTTTTGTTTTCAAATTACAGAACACGATCAGAATCTTTCTTTGTGTTTCCTCTGCACAACTTCTTCCGTGACTTCTGCAGAAACAAGAAGTGAAGGAAAAAAAATTTTTTTTCTCCCTATTCAATTGAGCTCAAGAATCGCTGTCTATCATTTGTGCATTCTATTTCTATGTTCATTCTCCAGAAATTGCATTTAATCAATGCCTCTAGTTGATAAGTTTTCGTTTATGTCTTGTGCCATTTAGGGATGAAAGATGATAGTTTATCACATTTGATATGAGATTTTTCTTTTTTTCTCTCTCATATTCATGACTTTCCATTGTCTAGTTCCTTTTTGAATTGGACTGATTAGGTCACGCGCTTTTCAATTCTTGTAAAGCATTCAATGCCGTTATACATCAGTTCATCAGCTTGACGTCAATCTCTTATCACCACCTTCTTCTGGTACATGAGCACTGCATGGGAAAATGATTTTGTTTTTTTTTGATAAAAAAGGAAAAAAAAAAGATATTTTAAGCCAATCAAGCACACTCCATCTTATTTGTTTTTATTTTATATGAGAAAGTCTTGTTAATTGCAAAGTTTGCGAAAAATATTTTTTTTTTAAATTAAGGATCTTTGAGTAGTTGAAATAAGTTAAAAATTTGTTTTTCATGAACAAAGATTGTTTGAAGTTTATGAGAGAGAGAGAGAGTATGATAGAGGGTGACAGAGAGAGAGAGAGAAAGAGGAAGAGAAGGTTCAGACGAGAACTTGTAGAAAAAATGCCATGAAGTTATAAAGAGAGGAGGTGAGTAGCAAGAGAGAGAGAGAGAGATGATCGTTCTTCTCTCGTTGCTTCTCTCCAAGTTATCAACCTCAATCAGCCATTTTTGGAGGCGACTCGAAAACATAATCAAACAAATAAATTTTTTTTTCTTCCACTCAAAAAATTTTTGAATTTTCCTTCATTTATGACCCCCAAAAATAATTTTTTTTTCGTTGTCTGCAGTTTTGTAATAAAATTGGTAACTTTTTGATCTCCAAAATAGGAAAAACATGTTATGAGATGGATAGAGAGTGAGAAATGTGGAGAGAGCATGAAGAGTCATCGGCTGTTGGTTTATTGGAGTCAATCTATCTGTTACTTAGTGAGAAGAAAAAAATATTTTTTTTTTATCTGAAAGAAAGTAAAAGAAAGCATAAGAAGAGAGAGAGACGGCATGTGTGAGAGAGCCCAGTGATGGCAACTAGACTTCAAAGAACTTTTTCGTAAAAATGTTTGAAATTAAGATGTATGTGGTCACTTGGGCATCTCAATGTCCCGTCATGTGACTTTTCTCAGACTTTTGAAAAGGTTTGAAGAGGGGGAACAGAATACGAGAAAATGGAAAATTCAAGAAAAAACTATACGACAAATTGTAAAACTCTGTTCTCATCATAACCTTTGAACAGAAGGAGAAGCACAAAAACGTAAATTTAGAAGTAGAGGAAGAGAAAAAAATGATAAAAGAAGAGAGAAAGAAGGATGGAAGGTGAGAAAGAGAAGAAGAAGAAGAAGAAGAAGCCGGATGAGCTGCAAGGAAACGGTTGAACGAAGTAAAGCGATTAAAGCTTCTTCTTTTCTTCAGCTTAATCGTTTATTGATGTTTATTGATTTCCTTATTTGGAAAAGATTATCCAGTTCTTTTTGACCAAACGAAGACCCCTTTATTCTATTGATTTTCAATTATCAATTTTCACTTATTCAACTGTCAACATTTTCATTTTTACCTCTATCGTTTTATCAATATTCTATATATTCTTTCTCTCTCTCTCTCTCCCTCTCTCTCTATCATCTGACACACACATTCTCTCTTTATTCTCTCTATCTTATTATTTTTGATGAATTACCTTAACATTCAAAGTCAAATTTTGGTCTCTCCATCAACGTTCATGACCGCTCCCTTCCAAGATCTCTCTCTCTCTCTCTCTCTATCTCACATGCACAAGTTCCTTATTCAAATGTAAAAAGAGAGAAAAATATTGAAAACTTGATAACGACTAATCAGACTATTCAAATCTCTTTGAGAATTTGAAATATTTGTTCCTTAACCTCTTAAGCTGTATAAAAATACACACAAACAGAACAAATGATAGTTTTGACATCTCAATGAACTCTAAGCTTCATCTGATCATTCTAGTGAGATGATATGTCCAGCGAGCACTTTATCAGTTGTTCTAAGTCCCTTTTTTTGTAAAAATTCGCATTAAAATATCCGTTTAAACAGAGAGTTATGGACGTTTGTACGTTTTCATTCAGTGTGTACTTGAACCCTGTGAGAACATGCTTCTTCAGCATTCTATTCACGTGCTTTTCAGTTTTTTTCACAGTATAAGAACAGATAAAGGTAAAAAGAGGCAAATAACGATAAAAAGAGAGAATCAGGTATAGAGAGAAAATCAGATGTACAGAGAGAGAAAGAGAGAATAAGAACTCTAACAAGAGAAAGATTGGTGTTGATGAGAAAAGGTGCAGACTAAGGTGGAATTGGAACGGTAGTATAATGAACAACAGGAATTATTTGGGAAAATAGACCACCCAGATTGTTTTTGCATCTTCTTCTCCATCCATTCTACATATGAATTATGAACTCAGATCAAAATGTTTCTTTTTACAACATTTTATTTTTTTTTAAATTCAAAATAAAAGCCAGCAGACGGTAGCCGTCATCAAAATAATCCTTTTTTATCATTCGGAGAGAGGGTGACAGAGAAAGAGAGATAGAAGTGGAAGGAGGTAGAATGCTTGTGAAATAAAAAAATGAAACGTAGAAGCTGTCGTTGTGTACAACTTACAAACTGTTTAATTTATTATTTTTTTGTTTTTATTTTGTTTTTCGACGTGAAGCCACACGTGATGTACGCACGTGGCTGACGTGCACATTTCAGTTTTTCGTTTAAAAAGAGCTGCTGATCGTATTCTATCCATTTCTTGCTGCCATCTTTAGAAAGATAGAGTGAAAAAGAAAGAATGAGAGAGACTTAAGTTGAAAGGATGACTGAGAGAGTAGTTGTAAGAGTTTTGTTTAGAGATTGTTTATGATTAGCCTTTCACTTTCTATCTCTTTCTCTCTCCTTATTCTCATTGTTTACATGAAATCTCATAGCATTTCAATACTTTCTTCATTTTCAAAACATTATTCCTCTGTTTGAAAACATTAAAGAAAAAAAAAGTAATTCTGCTTTCGTTGTATTCCCTTTGGCTCAGGTCCATGTTACAACTCCTTTCTTTTAATATTTCACTCACAAATTGTGTATGTATGTGTATGTATGATCGACGATCAAGACGAGCCCAACCAGTCATTTGGTACGGCAAGTTCTTCAAAAACTGTTGGAACGTGTTCAGTTGAATGTTTAACGATGCCTTCAGGGCCTAAAAATTGATGATTACGTATGAATTATTTGTAAAAAGAAGAAGCTGCGAGTTGTCGACACTACTCTATTATCCCAAAAGAAAATGTTCATCATTGAATTTCAGCTTAATTTCACAGAATGATGTGTGTGTGTGTGTGTGTCTATGTATCTATGTGTGTGTTTTATGAATTCAGCTGAGAACTCACAGCTTTTCCTTCTTTTAATGTGACGTCATGAACAAAGCAGCCAGAAGACAGAGAGAGAAAAAAGAAATTTTTTTTTGTCTGTGTTCATCCATTTGCAAATATTTCATTTTTTAGTTTTCAACCCTGACTTATCACATCTCCTCTCAATCCATAATAATCAGATCAAGAAGCACAAACCTGAAAACTGTTTTGTTTCGCATTCTCATTTTTGTTATTTCTTGCGTTCACACACACACGCACATACAGATTCCACATTCTCCTCAAACGATATCTGCTTCATGTCCATGACACTCGTGGGCTTTTCAACTGTAATGCTGATGCATTTTGTTGATTTTCTGATGCGATCCTTCTCATCAAGAGTTCAATCGCTTTTTAAACTAAAATCATTCCTTACAGTTTGATTGTCTTTTATGGAAAAACAAAATGCTTTTCCAAGTGCTTTCAAAACCTTTTGTTCCTCTTAATCAGTCTTAAAGATAACAACTAATCTCTTTCTTTCTCTCTAGTTCGCTCTCTTCATCTTCCATTCACTTGTTTCTCGTTCACCTTTCATTCTCTCTCCGGTTCAACTTCTCTGCTGAATGTACCTTGTAAGCAAGGTGTCAAAGTTCTCAATGACTGTAATTTTGAAAAATTCCATAAAAATCACTATCTGGAACTGTTTTCAGCTGTTTTTCAATCTTAAATCTCATTCCCTCCATTTCTCATTCATCACACTCTCTCTATCATATACTCTCTCTCTGTTTCTCTCTCTTTCTGCATTTCCTTCGAAAATATTTTTTTCTTTCAAACCGAATATTTGATAAACGGGTTGAAACATTCACGAATTGCCAATTTCATGATTTTGATGATTTCCATCCCCTTCTGAGTGTTTTTTCTCTTTGTGGCCACTGAACGAAGCTGATTACCTCTTACCGTTCCAATTATCTCTCTCATCACTTTCTCTTCGGCTCCTTGAACATCGTGTGATAGGAGCACGAACAGAAGATTCATTCGGATTATACAGTTCAATAATTATATACGATTATTACAAAAAAAAACATTTTCTTATACAACTGTATTAAACCCCTCTAATATGGTATTTATAGGTTTACGTAGAAGTTGGTGAACAATACGAACTTCTTCGACCAAGTCAGGATTTTGAAATCCGACGTCATCATTCTGGAAGGTAAGTTGAACTTTATAAAAAAGGAAAAACATTCGAACAAAAGTCTTGTCTCTTCTGATTGTTTCAATGAAATTCTTCTTTTTTTGAAAAAAAAAACCAGAAATCATTTTGTGCTCTTCCGGTTTTTTCCAAAACTTTTTTATCACAAAAGCTGTCTGCTTGCTCCATATTTACGCTTTTCCTCATCTCTCATACACACATTAATCTGAATGTCGTCGTTATTGAAAGAAAAATTCCAAAAAATCTTTTTACACAACATCCACAAGAAGTAAGACAGTTCCGTTTGGCTGTTTATGTTCCTCAATTCCAATCCGTCTTGTAGTGTTTTGCGACGAATAAAATGGAAAAAAAGGAGCAGAAGAAGTGAAAGAAGAAGATGATGAGAATAAGGAAAGAAAGAAAAGGCAAAGACCAGAAGAAACAAAAAAAAAGAGCGCCAAATCTTCACATATGAAGCCGTCCCTCCATCTTTCGTTCTCTCTCTCTCTCTGTGAATGTATGAAAGAGTGAATTGAGGAAGCATAAAGAGAGTAGACGATAGCGTATGGATCTAAGAATGATGACAATTCTCTAAAAAGAAATCTTTTGAGTGTTTGTTTCAATTGTTGAAATGAAAAAGATACATTTTCTTATAAAAACATGTGAAGATGTAACTGTAGCTTTAGACCATATGGGTCGATTTATCTTTCAAATCATCACATGTTTCTCTTTTTCTCTTTTTATCTTTCAATTACTCTCTTAAACTCATTTCTCTCTTTCTCTCTCTATCTCTCATTCTCTCCTAATGCAGTATAGTGTCCATCAGTGGTCAACTGCTGCTATAAAACCCATAAAATTTGTTGAATTATTCCATTCGTTTAGATAAAAAAAAATTATTTTTCTTATTAGCTTTTTCAGTCACAGCTTCTGCTATACATCATCTTAAGCTTATATTCCTTATTTAAAAAGTTATTTTAATTATTCTATTAAAAACACATGTCTCTCATCATTACAATATCATCATCCCTTATCCTCTGCTTCTTCCTTTATCCCTCTCTCTCTCTATCTTTCTTTTCTTATTTAAATCAGAAATGAATAATCAATAGATGTTTAAATATATATTTTACATAAAATTTAATAAAACAGTCTGTTTATTGACTCACTCACTTTGAGCGTTTGATCTCGGATCTTTTGAATTCTTCACTCTCTCATTCTCTCATCTTTCTTCATTTGAATAACTACACTTCATTATATCATTCTCAATAAGCCACTACAATCCATCTAAATCTTTTTTAAATTTTCTTCTATTATTCCATTTTTTAATTTCTTTAAAAAATAATTTTCCGAGAAAAAGAAAAAAAATTCTCAGAAAATTAACATATGTCGCACGATGAATACAAATTCACGTGAGTCACGTGTAAGATCATTTAAACATTTGCGCGCGTGCAGATCGGTTGCCCTTTGTACCCTAAGCCGCCGCACCCTGTTTATCATTTTATTTATTGTTTAAACTATATGTTATAGTTACAACAATCAATATAATTAAAGAACGTTCATGTGTGTTGTTTTATTAACAAATTCTTTAATATTATTTTCATGTAATAGAGTAAAACTGCGTATGTAAGTATATGTGTGTGTCTATGCGTATGTTTATGAGTCCTTTATTGAGCTTAATCCATTTCATACATTTATTGATTGGATTTTAGCAATTAAAAATGAAATAGATTTTGAATATTTCAATTCATTTTGTTTCTTGGTCTGCAAGTGAGTAGTTGTAGTTGAAGTTGTTGCAGTTGTATACTTCCATCAGTTAGACGTTTTTCATTTAACGCTAATTGTTCGTAAATTATAGAATACGTCTGATATTCATCTGAATATGTTTTGAAACTCTTTTCATTGGTCATTTTGTTATTTGAATTTGTTCATTTGGAAGTTGCAAATAGTGTTCATAAAACACATATTTTTGCTACTTCCTCAAAGACTTTTGTGAGAGGGATCAGCTGACGCCTGATGAAGTGCTCACAGAACGATCAACTGAAATTATTTAATTTCATAGAGGAAAGTTGTGAAAATGCATTCTATTCTTATAATAATAATCACATTTAATCTCATTTCATTTACTTCATTCATTTGTTCATGCACAATGAAGCCTTAAAAAATAGTTCGTAATGAACTGACGACTGAGCGTGGGAGAAGGCTGTTGAGCTAAGTCTTGCTGAGCTTCACGTGAATAACAGCCTCATCATTTGTGCCAGTCGAGTCGGATCATTGTATTTCTTAACAGAAAAATCATTTTGTTGAGCTTCTGCTACTTGGCATGTCCCATCTCTCACAAAATTGTTTTAATTGCTTTTAAAACGGCTGAAAACGAAAGCTTCTCACATTGCTAGTCAGACGTTACTCTATTCCTGTTGTTGTTGTTGTTGTTGTTGTTTTGTGCTTAAGGTGAAATGGATTTTGACTCTTTGGCTCTTTGGCCATCCTTATCGGTTACTCATTCATCCATCGTTTAGTCTCTGATCTTATCTCTTATGGGTCCGCGTATCTCCACTCTGTAAAGAAAGGGCGGAGCCATAAGGGTTGGAGGTGTGTCTCTTTTCTCTTTACCTGCTTCGAGGTCTCCTCAGCTACACCAACAGCCGTTGCGTTCGGTGTTGTTGGCGCAGAGCCCATATTAGGTTATCTTCTTATATTTTGTAGTTTGTTTGATCATTCTTTTTTTACATGAAGTTTGTGTCGTTTTTCTTGCCTGTTAAGGCAATCGAATGTTATATTTTGATGAGAAATGAGACGGAATTGTTTTTTTTGTAAAATTGTAGTAAAGAGGGGTGGATTGAGAAAAGGAAAGGTTAGAGAGAGAGCAAGGATATCTTATATGACAGAAATAGAGAGAAAGAGAGTGAAATAGTATATATAGAGAGAAAAAAGAATAAAGAGAGAAATAGAAGGTGAGAAAGTAGGAGGGAGATGGAGGTGTAGAAAGGGAATTATCGACGGACAGCTTTCGATACAGTCAGATGATTTGGAAATATCACAGATCTCTGAATTTCTTTTTGAATCATCCCATGTTCTCTCCCTATTTATCGATCTTATCATTCTTTTTTTGTAATTTTTGCGCTCAAAATCTTCATTTTTTTCTTGTGTATATGTGTATGTGTGTGTGTGTGTGTGTGTGTGTGTGTGTGTGTATGGAAACAAACAAAAGAATTGGTTCTGATAGCATATTAGTTGAACAGCTAGTTAGTATAAATTAAATATTATTAACTATGCAGTTGTATTGTGTTGTTGTATTTATATGAGAACTTTCGACTATTCTTTGATTTCTGATCGTTTTCTGAAGTTGATCAGGCTGTTATTACATGCAGTTTGATTCGATTTAAGCTATAAACTAGTCTAGAAAAGAGCATTCTGATCCGTTTCTGATAAAGATTTGAGCTTTGTGAAACCATTTTTATCATTTTATTCGCACAAGACGCCATGCAGTCATTGGCTTTTTTTTCATCAATTCTTCATCCATTTTAAGACATTTTATCTTCTCACTTCCAGATAGTGTGAGTGTGAGCTATCTAAATGTGGCAAATTATCTTTTGTTCATTTTTGACTCTTTCATGCTCTCTTTCTTTCTTTGTGTCTCTCTGTCTCTTTCGTTGATTCTTTTGCTGACTCTCTATCACAGCTCATCTACCTCCTCATTTCGGTTGTTACTTTGAGATCATAAACTTGCGAATATATTTATATATATATATATATTCGATTTAAATGATTCTTATTTATATTTTTTATTAATCTAATTGTTAATTTCAGATCAAGAGAACAAAGATTCATTGCTGAAGACGAAACAGTCAGCCTACTCAAAATGCATGTGGAGCAGTTATGTAAAGCTCTGGACACAACAGATTTGGACGATGAAATACAGCCGAAATCAAGGTGAGCCATTGTACTTTGTTTTGTTTTTTTTTCTCATTCCAAGTACTCTCTACGTTTGGCAAAATGAAAATAAAGAGAGTGACGAATGAATAAGAGATAGAATGTATATGAGGGAGAGAAAAGAACTTTTTTACTTTTTTATGAGCTTTTTCTTTCTATCTGAATTCGGCTGATTGTTGATCATTTGATTATTTTGATTTAACCAATTGAAATAGTTCTATAATACGGTAGATAGTAAAAGGGTGGAATTATGATTTCCCACATTCTTTTTTCTCTTTGTAGAAAGAGATAGAGAGAGAGAGAGGGAGGGTTAGAGGGGTGCATCGAACATAGATAACAAACTTCTTTTGTTATCAGAAAAGACAAGAAAAAGTCTTATTCTAATTGAATGACTTTGTTTGAATGAATAGTGATGTTGGATCATTTGATTGAAGCTTTGGCCTCTTTATATTAAACTGTCCTTCTTTTGAGTTCTCTATATTGACATTTGGGACCAAGAGACATTGGCCGGGATAATGCACGTCGATCGTCCTCGTCGTCGTCCTCGTCGTCGAAAAAGAAAACACAAATGTCTGATGTAACTGCTGATGACAATAGATATATATTTATTTTTCTTTAAAGTGGAAATGATAAAGCCATGATGAAGTTTAAAAGAGAGAAAAGAAAACGATTTTTAGTTAAATCGCCACTTTTTTTTCTCTATTTCTTTGAAGAAGTATGAAGGTAATGGAGTAGATGATAGAAGAATAATATAGAGAGAAAAAAGTGAGAGAGAGAGAAAGATAGAGAGATAGGAATAGAAATAGAGAAGAGTAAAGTGCAACCGTTCTGTAACTTCAGCAAGCGTGAAATGAATTGTGAACAAGGCAAGTTTCACGTGAAACACGTCTTGTCACGTTGAATTACCATTTTCGACGTGGCATTGCCGGTGCAGTTGGAGATAACTGAAATCAATCAATAATTGAAGGAAATTAAATATTAAATTTCAATTGAGCGAGCAACTAGGGGTCAATGACAAAATAGAAAATAGGTGATTGTAAAATAAAATCACATATATAAATATACATAAGTATATGTTTATATATCTGTATATTGTTAACTGCTGTTAACATATTAAGTTCAAGGCTTGTAACATATTGATCAACATCTGACGTCATCCCGTTTTCTTTGATTTGTTTATAATTGAAGTTTGACTGATCGGAACGGTGCTAGCTAAAGTCTCTTCATATTGAATTCATGTGAAGAACACGTGAACAGCTTGTCGTCAGTTGTCTGTTGTTGTTCTTTCTCGGAGAGATCTGGTCATGCTTTCGTTCACTTTCTCTGAGTGTCAACCTCTTTCTCTCTATTATCTCTCCTTCTCTCTCGTTATTTTTTCTGTTTGAGTCATATGCCCTTCTGCACCTGTAGCGACTTTGGTTGCTGCTATCAGCAGCTCATTATGCTGCTTCATCTCGGCTTATGATCCAAATTGACAACAATTATAATTACTGTAGACGACGGGAAAATGAGAAAAGTCAAGTATTAACTGGCTCAGACACAGAAAGCTGGTATGAAGCTCGTCGCCGAGTGCTTTAGATCCGAACGGAAAACAAAAGAAGATGTGTCTTCGACTTCAGCTTGACTGCTCAGTTGACCATTGGCTTGAAACTCTCAGCTCCGGCGTCTTGTCTTTTCTAAAATGCTGACTGAATGAGCGGAGCTGTAAGACTGATGTTGTGTTCCGGAAATATTTTCCGGAATATCACATCATCGTCTAAATGAGCAAAAAGGGGCTGCGAAGGAAACGGAGAAGACAATGGGAATAAAGAGAAAGGGTGAAGCTTGTCCATTTCGGGCTAGCTTCAAAGGGTATGAAGTCATTAACTAGATATAGTTAAAACAAAGTGAGACAGTGTCAAACCGGAAACATGACTTTATATTTTTGTTTTAAAACATTTTTTTCGTAATGTCGGCAGAGATAGGGACGGACGGGGGCAAGTGAAAGTTTTGTAATTTTTTGATCTCTTGTACAGCTTTATCGTTCTGAAACGAGAGAAAAAAACAGTTGTTCTTTCCATTTTTGAAAATGATAAGATTGATAACATGATGACGTCACTGATTAATTCGGAGATGTGACTGTGTGTGTGTGTTCTTTGATGTTGACCATGGTGGGTTCATATGTACGAAGAAAGTTGGACCCGATTATCAAGCAAAAAGAAGATGTCAAAGTCATTCTCGAGTTCATTTTGGGTGCTTTTTCAGTTCATTTTTCGATGAAAAAAATTGATAAGAATGAGGAGAAGATATGAGTCAAGTGCTCAAGAATGTTGTAAAGAGGATTTTGGTTTCTTTTTCGACACTTTTTCAAAACAAAACTTTTGGATCCAAAGGATATGAGAGACGACGGGAGGTGTACGAGAAGGATCAATGAGATAAAAGATTTTTTCGTTCATTCGTTTACACTCAATTGCTGCTTTATCCCTCGCTTCTAACTTTCCGTCCAATGTCCGAGCTTATGGAATTGATGTTCCCCGATTATTGGGAGAGAAATAATTTTCTATCAAAGGACAAAAGGTGAAAGAGGAATCAAAACGAGAGAGAGAGAGAGGGTCTGGGGGTAAGATGGTTGTAGTAGCATGTAGAAGTAGGAAACTGTTTTTTGATCAATTGATGAATGGATTCACATATTTCCGTGCGGCTGCAAGCATGTGTATATGTGGAGCGTGAACGAGTGTGTGTGTGTGAATGTGAGTGAGCGTAAAACTTATTTTTAAAACATTTTTTTGTACAATCGTTATGGCAGAAGTGTGATATGACCTTTAAAGCTTCATTTCAATGTTTTTGATAGGTCATAAAGTTAATGAAAAATAGTGAAAAAGAGATAATAAAAATAGAAAAACTTGTCATTTGCAAATCTTTTTTTTGCTTTTTTGAAGAACTTTTAATGATTTGTTTCGAGGCTAAATATGTCCGAAACCTGATTTCTTCTAACTTCTTCTGGATGAAAGCAATAAAAGTATTGGAAAAATATGTTTGACAAACAGCTTTTTCCATATTTGGACATATATTTTTGAGTGGGGGGACTGACGTGTCTATTCATATCTTTCTTTCCTAATTTAGCTTTAATTTTAATATATTTTTGTATAGTTGAGAGAAAGACTTTTGGTTCTTTGATTTGAAAGACAATTAAGACCACGTGGGCTTTTATGGAATGACAAAGAAAGAAAGATAGAGAGAATGGTACAGAATGCTTGTTATGTTTCTCTCTATCTATCTCTTGTTCTAACATATTCTCTAAACTCTCTCTCCTCCCTAAACAATGGCACAAGGTGCTAATTGACTATACTGATCTTCTTTTGCTTCCCTCTCAGCAGACTAATGAGTCAGAGACCAAAAGATCACGAGATGAATATTCATAATACTACACAATGAGAGAAACGATGAAGAGGGATCATAGGCTTGCTTCTGTCAATTAAATGATCAAACTGAATGATCGTGTCGTGTTTATATGGAAATTGAAAACAAATTTTTCGAGAAATAGTTTGAGTTTGAAAGAGGTGATGAGAGAAGAGGAGAAGCATGTAAACAGGAAGAATTCTTGTATAAGCCCACGTGTTTCATCAAAACACGTTGCTTGACAAGGTGAAAATCAAAATTATGCTAAATGCAGAAAAGACATTTCTGTTTCTGGGGCAGTGAGGGGTCGATGACGTTTCTCGAATTCACTTCAAAGCTTAACGATCTCTTTTTCGAAATTACTCCGAATTTTAAATTGTTTCAACAGTGTGATTCATGAACGATTTGTTTTCGAAACTTCCGGTGACCGTTGATGCACCCTGTCACCGATTAGTCTGTCTTTTATGAACATGTGGCTGTTTATATGTTAAGAACAAAGACAGTTCTTCTATAATATGTTCTGTGGTACTCTCTTTTTCACGTGATCTGATCGAGTCGTCCAAATATAGACAAGGTCAGCTTAACGCATTTTCGAAGAAAAATCAGCTGCTCTACTTGACGACGAGAAAAATGATGGCAATGAAGACGTTTTGACCAGTTGATGATAATTATTGTTGACGACAATCATCAGTTTCTGACTTCCGTTGTCCTGTTTTTCTTTTACCGAAACTGAAAGAACATGAAAATTGGAAAAGATTGGATTCGCATGATGTTTGAGAGATGTGAATGATGAGAGAGGAAGAAATTCGTAGAAAAGAGAGGGGCAATTGACGTTGACAGAGAGAAAATGGGGATCAAAAAATGTTCAGCGAATTGTTTAAACTTTTTTATTTTCAGTATATCAGATGAAGCCAATGCGGTGGAATTCAATTCTTTAAAAATCGTCACGACTCTCGGTATGGGAGGATTCGGACGGGTAGAGCTTGTGAAAGGCTACGAACGGGTATATGCTTTGAAAGTAAGACACAGATGAATTCGTTTCGTTTTCATATAGTATGTCATTTAAGGTAATGAACAAAGCTCACATCGTGGAAACAAAACAAGAAAATCATGTAGTATCAGAAAGGAAAATCTTAATGGAAACCAATTGCGATTTCATAGTCAGGTGAGTACTAATAAGGAGCTCAGAACATCGTTGACGATATCCTTTCAGACTTTATAAGACATTCCGAGATGCTGAAAAAATATATATGTTAATGGAGCCATGTTTGGGTGGTGAAATTTGGACAATTTTAAAACGAAAGTAAGCATTGTGAAGTAGTAAAGCAGCTTACAAGATATCTGTTATAGAGGCCGATTTGATAACGATGGAAGTCGGTATTACTGTGCTGGTGCTATTGAAGCATTGGATTATTTGCACAGAAAAAAAATTGTCTATCGCGACTTAAAACCCGAAAATATGCTTTTGGATAGAAATGGAATTCCAAAACTTGTAAGAAGCTGAAGCGGAAGCCTCGTTTCCAAACACAAATTGCCTTTTAAGGTTGATTTTGGCTTTGCCAAGAAGATCAAAGATGGTCGTACATGGACATTCTGTGGAACAGCGGAATACGGTAAGATATATTGAAGATCATATAGTATTAGATAAAACTCTTCTCGAATATCTGAGTTTAAGTATCATAGTTGTTTTCTTTTAGTTGCTCCTGAAATTGTTCTTAATAAGGGTCATGATACGGCCGTTGATCTCTGGGCTCTTGGAATTTTCATCTACGAGTTGTTGACTGGATCGTAAGTGTCAAGTCTTACAATGATCCATTCTAGTTTTGTCTCAATTTTCAGTCCTCCATTCTCGAGTTCAGATCCAATGGTCACCTACAATGCCATTCTTAAAGGACTTGATAAATGGGCTTGGCCCAGGTAGGATAAACAAAATTCTCCGATTGAATTGCTGAACATCAATCTTCAGATTTATTTCTAAAGATGCCATAGATATCATGCTGGCTCTTTGTCGTCGAGAAGCATCAGATCGACTTGGTTACGGAAACATTGATGAAGTTCGTCTTCATTTCTGGTTTGACGGATTCGACTTTGATCTTTTCCGTGCTCATAAGATGCGTCCACCAATTCTTCCAGCGGTTAGTTACTGGTTATACATATCATTTACTTATATCATATGATTATAGGTTCGATCTGATGTTGATACAAGTAATTTTGACACATTTCCCATGTTCGATAACTTTGCTACGGGTAGCGATGAGACTGGTTGGGATCTCGACTTCTAAAGAAGTTCATAATTTATGATTTGCATGAAAAGTTAGAGGTGCGGAAGTTGATAAGAAAACGAAAAAAAGCTTTTTGTAGTTAGTAGTTGAACCAGAAGATTTAGTTCGTTCTTTCCTCAATATAATTATATACCCTATATAGAAGTACCCTTCTTCGTGTGTTATTGTACATATTATTGTTTTCTCTCTCTCTCTCTCTCTATCTCTCTCTCTTTTTGTTTTTCCTCTTTATAATATCTGTCTGTATGTGTGTTGGTCATGTTCGATTGAATACAATCATCTGACCTCCGAATCATTTCCTTATCACATCCCATAACATCGGCTATTATCTGGTCTTTGCTTTTTCTTAAAGAAAATAATGTTATTTCTAATAAGTTTATATAGTATAATTAATACATCGAACCAAGTTCTCAACGATAATCTCCTTATATGGCTTGTGATAATGACATCTTTTCGGAAATTGTACATTCTGTATGTTTTTTCTCCTTTTTTTCTAGTCCCTATATCTCTCTCTATCTCTTCTTCTTCCCTCCTGGCCCCTTTCTTCCTCTCTCTCTCTCTATTTCTCTCTTTATTTGAATGACTGAAATCCCTCGTGATGTACATAGAAAGAATATTTTCCTATAGTTTTATTATATGTTCTATTTTTAAAATACGTGAAGAAACTACAAGAAGAATGAAATATTTTCCTTAAAAAGCCCTTTTTATTTGTTGCGAATCAAGAAATCTTGGATGTTCGTCCAGATATTAGAATCCTTGTACAAATAAGTCATACTCTTTGCCAAGGAACCTTGTAGAACTTCAGTATGGTGCTCAAACAACCACAGCACTAATCCCCATACACCAGCTGCAAACAGAGGAAAAACAGGAAAATCTGTACAAAATTTGCATATTAGGTGATTTGAAATGAAATTTTCAAATAAAAATACTTGGCTGAGGCAGAAGCTGTTGATCAACAGCTAATTTCGCTAATCCAACAACAACGCGGGATAAGAGGTATAAATTGATCTATAAATTTAAGTTTTATTCCTCCTTCATGACAGAAGAAAAGAATCTTCCCACTTACCTGCATATTCACGGAATTATTCGATCCAAATACCAAATATCCCATTACGGAAGCTGCTGCAAATGCATGCCATTCCTTCTGTTGTCCTTAAAAAATACAAGAAAGTCATCTGTTGCATCTACCATCTTCTTCGGTGTATAATGCCGATGGATATAGATCCATATACGTACCTTCTAGTTTTGTTAGAAAGCCATGAAGCAGCTTATAGCTGAACACAAATCTGGCTAAGTTGAATGCATGCGTCTTCGTCAATTGAAAGATTGTTAATAGCTTTTGTAGAACTCTGTAGAAGCCCGTATAGATAGATGACTATGATACTGTGAGCATTTATTTGAAATATCTTACGTTCCATCTCCGAACAAGAAAACCATCACCAAAGCATGTGGCGCTCGTATGCGGGCTCCATAACTACAATATATGAATAAATAATTTTGAGATGAATGAAAGGTAAAACAACGTACACCAAGCCATTGCGTAATCCTTTGATGGCTGAGAGAATGAAAGTGTTATGACGATATTTATGTAAAATATAATTGGCTATTGTTTCCCAATTATTAATTAAATATAAAATAGTTTGCATTTTACTAAAAAATGGACGAATTAATCAAATGATTATTGAAATCATTTTGATCATCTGATAAGGAGATAGACAATCAATGCACTACTGTCTTATCGATTTCTTCCTTACTCGTCCATCCATGATCTGTTTGACATGGTGTGTATGGTGTGCTGAGAAGAATGTTCGTTATGAATTAAAATACGTTTTCAATCACACCAGACACACATACACACACACACACACACACTCACATGTATGTCTTGCTGTGGAACATTTTAATCGAAAAATTCTTTTTTTTTCTTTGTCCAATTTCAACTGAATGCAACCGCTCTGCAAATCATTCTCATCAAAAATGATAAGCAACGTACGTTGTTTACGTGACCAAATGCTCCCACGTGATGACGTGCATCTTCGTTTTACCTTAAATTATTAAAAAAAAAGAATTTCATTTGTTGTTGCTTTTGTCCAGAATTTTAACAAAAAGACAGAAAAAAATTATTTTTCATTCCAACCACATAACCGTACTTCATTTATGATTTCATTGGCAACAGCGGATGCAGCAAACGCCACGTGCCCTTTACGTTGAAGTTCACGTGAATTGCACGTAAAATGTTTTTTGAATATTTCTCTTTCAGATTCAGAAGAATGCTTTCGCATGACGATGATTTGTTTGAGGTAAAGATAGAAAATAAAGGAAAAGGGAGGGAATAAGAGAGAGAGGGAGAGAGGAAGAGATGGAAAGGAAATGGGTACAAGAGTGACACAGGGAGGGAATGGAGTGGAAAAAGAGATTTAATAAATAAATATTTATGTAAAAGCTTAAAATTAAAATGAAAAACATATGAAAATCGGATGAAATTGAGATGTTTTGAGATTTCAAACAATGCTCGTCCATTAATTCGTATTACATTGACGTATTTCAATTATATAAATTGAGATTTAAAAAAGAAAGGTTATGAGATACGAGTTAGCCATATCTATGAGATCCAGATGTACAGGATTTACTATTTCATATAATTTATGTTAATTTCCCTCTTCACTAGTTCAAACGGTAATTATTTTGAGCAAATAAACATATTTTTCAATATGACATGTCCTTTTAGGGTCAAGCTGCATTGTACTTGCCGTATTTTAATTACATTCAGAAGAATTAAGAGTCATGAAAAAGCTCTTGATAACTATCTGCGATCATTGATGTGTCCATATATAGTATACCTAAACTATACAAATAGTCTAGTTCCTTCATCCAGCTTTAATATTATTTTTTTTAAACTTCTTCGTCCATATCTCTCTCTCTTTCTGTCTTTCGTTTATTTTGTGTTTTTCCGTTTACAGCAATCATCATGTAGTAGGTGGTATTGCTTTGATGGTAGAGGAGACGGATGAACATTTTTTCCTTTTTTTCCATTTTTATTTCCGCCTCTTGCATGACACGAGAGAGATTACCAAATACAGCGATTGTTTATATTATTATTAAAAGATGAACAATTTATTGGAAAGAAGCATACGAATCGAAATAAAAAAAAATAATAATAACAAATCACAATGGCTTGAGCGTAGTTTCCTATATACTCTACACACACATGCACATACAGACAACCACATAGAGGAGGAAGAGGATGGATGGATGGATTGAAAAAGAGGATGAAAATTGGAATTAACAAGAATAAAAAATAAATTTCTATATGTGTTGTTTACCAGTTCAAAAGACATATTGGTCATAATTATGACAAATAGATTATGTGTATATCTATATCCGGGAGTATTTATATATAGATTAATGAATAAGGAAAATGGGTAATGGCAAGCAAGAGGATGAACACTGGAGGATACGAACGGTAATGTTGATGAGAAGTTCATTCGTCTTCACTTCTTCTTCTTCTTCTTCTTCTACTCCGTCCTTCTTCCATACTTGGTTTTCGTTGAAACAGTCGTGAAAGATATATCCGTTGTTTGTTTAAATATATATTAGATTGAAATAACAATAAAAATGAGAATTTCATAACAACGTTCATAAATGGCTTTGGATCAATTGGTATTTGGCAGAATTCTGTTCGTTTCGAACATTATTTTCTTCGAAACATTTGAGTGTCTTGTGTTTTTTGGCTTTTTTTTGTTGCAGAACACAAAAATATGAAAAATTGTGTCTGAACTGAATATAAAGAGAGAGAGAGAGATAGAGAGAGATGGAAAGGTAGTTTCAAATAGAGAGACAGGATTGGAATGTTAGAAAGGGACTTAAAGCATTTGGTCTCCTGGTAAGTGAGTATCCGTAGATGTGGTGAGAAAAACTTCTGATTTCTTACAATCTGACCTAGCTGCTGATGATACTGGCATTATCTGAATGAACGACAGATGAGAGATGACTATGCATATCAAACATACATGATGAGATGCTCGACTTGGAAGTTCCGCATGAGCTTTTGTTGAATATAACGATTGCTTTCGATGTCGTTGAAAAACTGATTGGATGGCTGATCGAAATTGGGGATTAAACCAAGAGTAAATAACTGGGTTTAAAACAGCTGACATCATAGCTGTTACATGGCATAACGCGAACACCTAAAATGATGTGAATAGGGTAAGTTCAAAGTTTAGGGATGTTGTGATATACCATTGAAAACCATGTTGTGACCGTAAATGTAGATATCAAATCTCTATAGAGATTGATACAATTGATTGGCACCCAAGCAAATATGAATCCCAACACCATTACGATCATCATTCTGGAATCGAATACATGCATATGATGAACTATATGAAAACTGACTTATTTGCTCGACTTTTGCGACTAACAAGCTTCATCTCAGATTCGGGTAGGAGAGTTTGTCCACGTCTTCTCTCTAACTGACTATCCATAACACGACTTATGATGTAATAACATATTGAAGAGATAAGCGCTGGAATACCAAATTGAAGAACTAAGACTGTTAAGCCATAGATTCTTCGTTGGTTTGAACGACCTAATGCTTCGGAGTAGTCAGGCCTGAATGAGGTAGATACACTGTCATTGGATAATCTACAAAATCTCTTTACCATTGCTCTTCACAGAAAACTCCACATAAACCCGGATAGGCGGCTTCTCCTGAATGTATTCCCGTCGGCAAAGCCAAGGAATAGCCAAGTGCCCAAATGCCAATTACAACTATTATTGCGCGATTATAATTTATAATCTTCAATATATGTGCTTCTTATTCAAAATAATCAAAACGATTTACCTCCTTATTTGGCTTTGTTATTAATAAAACTCGATCAATGGCTATAACGGTAAGGGTAAAGCTTGAAACGAATATACTTCCTTCCTAAAATGGCAAATTAATTTATAAATTTCTTAGTATTTTCATTAAAACTGAAATGGAACATGAATAGAATTTCAATTTTTGTTGTCCCAACTCCTCCATACATGATCATTAGAAATGCAAATTCTTTTACAACGAACAGTTCTCCCCCATGTAACTTTCAATGAAACTTTCATAAGAATTTCGTTATTCTATTGCGTTCAGTCAAACTCTACCATGTTTTCTCCATTCACTTTCCCTCTCTTTCTCTTTCTCTCTCTCTCTCTATATCTATCTCTCTTCATTTTTCTATTTTGCATTTCTTTGCTCTTTCTCTCTCTTTCACTCTCCTTTTAACCTTTTATCCTATTTCGGAGCAGCTGATTCTGTATCTCACTTTCCATACCCCTTTCAGCTCTTTTCTCTAGATTGCAATATTACCTATCTTTCCAGGAACATTTCTGATTCCTTTTCAATCGTTCTGTCATTCTCTCTCTCTCTCTCTTGCTCTTTCCGTTACTTTCTCCCTCGTTTGCCCTTTCTCCTTCCCTCACTTTCTGTTTCAGTTGTCTTAAAAAACAGTTTTTACCTGAAAAATTCCAATAAGTTTGCAGAATATGGAAGGAAATATCCAAACACGGCTAAAGATTGTAATTGCAGTTATTGGAAGACTTGTAAGACTCATTAACAAGTCTGAGACAGCTAAGCATCCTATGAAAATACTTCGAACAGATAATGAAACCTGAAATTACAATCTGTATTTTCTCGTTTGTTCATTTATAAGAAGGTTTTTGAGCTTCTCAAATAAATAACCAAAAAAGTAAATCTGATAATTTCTGATTTTTGACGTAAAAAAAAATTTTTTCTGATTTCTTCATCCCTCTTTGACAAACATCGAAACGGGAGAGAGGGAGGGACACAGAAGCATAGATAAGGATAAAAAAAAAGAGAAATAGAAAAAGAAAATAACCTGATTAAATGAAACTACGTATAAGACGAGTGAATTACCAACTATCCCAGCTACCCAAACCATCGAGTATAAAACTCCAAATATTAATTGAACGGTAAATTCATCTATCAATTCAGCTGTTGATTCTTGAATTGTCGTACAGTTTGAAGTGGTCATCTGAAAAAAAATCTATTCATTCATTTCGTTTTATCCAACGTCTTGAATTTCAACAAAAAAAAAGAAGTTGACATGCTCAAGATGTTTGATGATGAAGCTTGACGTAGCGATAAATAAAAGCTAAGTTTAAAAAAAATTGTTTTCTTTTTCCTTTCTTTTTTTTTGTTGTAAAAGAAGAAGAAGATGAAATAGGAGAAAAGATAAAACACGAAAAAAAGAGCAAAAAATGATGTGATGAGCATCGACGACGAACAGCATGAAACACAAAGTGATAAGGACGACGTTAGAAACGGATTTAAAAGATGACGAGTAGAACAAGCCGATGGACTCCGGAACAGATGAAGGCATTGAAGCAAAAACAGACAAGCACAGGACAAGAATTAGGAAAAGCATCGAATGAGAGAAATAGTGTGAAAGAGAGATGGGAAGGAATGATACATATTGAGTATATCCTGTGAAAAGAGGATGAGTGATACACAACATGCACTGAAAATATTGGAGAATCTGAGAAAAAGAGACAGAAGGGGAGGAGAAGAGCAAATTAAAGTAAGAAAGAGTACAACAAAATCATCAAGCATCACACCACGAGCCACAAAAACTTCTTTACAGTTTAGGAGAATAAAATTAAAAAATTAAATGAAATGAATCGAATGAGGGGGCCAATTAATGTCTCATCGCAGCCACTTGTCTTTCCTTTTCATTTTCTTCGTCTCCTTCTTTTCTTCTCCTTCTTTTTATTTTTTTTTATTTTTTTTCTGCTTCTTCACAACGACGAAGCTTTAAATGAGTTCATGCTTGAGCATACGACCGACAGAGTGTTGTGAAAAAAAATAAAATGAAATAAATAAGAATTAGATGATCGAATAGAGAGAGTCAGATTGAGAGAGCGGTGGAATGCCAAAAAAAATTCAAATTCAAAGGTTTATGACAGCAGTTATTACAAGAAGATCATATCTGACTACACTTGCAAATTTGCAAATAAAAAAAATTCTTTTCCTTCTTATGAAACACTGAAATTGACAAAAGGAAAATAAAAAAATGAAAAAGTATGGATATAGGGAGCGTAGAGATAGATAGATAGAGATATAGATAGAGAGAGAGAGGGGGGGGGAGATCGAGAATAAAGAAGAGGTGAAAACATGAAGAGAGAGAGGGACTGGAATGTAAAATAAAGAGAGGAAGATAGAGATAGAGAAAGAGAGAGAGAAAGAGAATGGAAAAAGAGAATTACGATAAAACAACCGCTCCGGAGTCTGCAGCAATGACAATGACGCGTATGGACCACCTAGTCAAACTGATTCACGTGAAGCTCAGATGACATGCGTGGAATATGCTAATGCTCTTTTCAATAATATAAATCTTGAGTGTTTTTATGAAAAATTAATAAAAAAATATGTAATGTGAAACGTTTAAAATTGCTTTCTGAATGCAGGAAGTAGCATAAGGTAAAGCAAGAAACAGCCAGATCTCGGATCAGAGATTTTTGGTTTACATTGTTTTCTTTTTTCTCTTTTTTTTTTATTTTTTGGTTGAATAATCTGAAAAATAAGAGAATATGTGTGTGTAAGACCACCCTAAAGAGCAAAGCCGTCATCATCTTCTTTTCCAAGTGTCGTCATCAGGCAGATGCAAGTCGACAATCTGCATGAGCGAGACGATTACTTTTTTTTTAGTCGTTTCTTTATTACTTCAAAGCTTTAACAGAAAGAAACAGAAGAAGATGATGAAGAACAAGAAGAGGATGACTCGAGAAAGAGAAGGAGAAGTAGAGAGAGAGTGGGAGGAAAAGGAATCAGAAATCGGGTATAGAGAGGTTGTTTAAGAGTTAAGAAAAAAATGAAATTTTTTTAGGTTTATGACCAATACAGCTTTCTATATTTGGTATTTTTCATTATTCAAATTTCATTTAAACGTGATTTGCTCTTCCGTCTCAATTCTTCAACCCAAAAAACAATTCATGCATTTCCTCTTTTTCTTTATCAAAAGATTGTTTGCATCGAAATTTGATAAAAATAAATGCAAATTTATCCATTTAAGTGAAATGTCCTTATTAGAAAATTTGAATTTAGAAAAAAAAAGGAGAGAGAGAGGGAGGGAGACAGATAAAAACGTTTTTTTCTGGTCTCCTTTTCCGCATTTCCAAAAAAAAAAAAGGAAATTCCCATTGGGTTTTTGGGTGTCTTTTTGAGCAGAAAAAGAAGTATTGAAAAAGCCGTTTTTTTGGTGACACGGAGAGCAAAGTATCTAAGCGATACGAGGGAAAAGCTGAGAAGATGTGAGAAGGTTACCAGAAGGTGAATAAGACGATATGGAATATGACGACATTAATGAGACTAATGAGCATCAGATATCTATAGAAATTGGAGTTTCTGAGTTGCAAAAGTGTCATCTGATAGGATGAAAGATGAAAAATGAGTGAATAAGGTAAAGGACAGGTAACAGTGGAGAAGAAGAGACAATGAGCCGAAGAATCTTCTTACATAGAGGGGGTGGAGTGACTGTTGAACTCTGCATATTGGGATAAAAGATAGTAAGACAAGAAAGATTGGAAGAAAGTGAAAGAGTCAAAAAACATTTTTGAAATATATTTCGAATGAAGAAATAGAATTATGAACAAGAGATTGAAAAGAGTGAGAAAGATGTGTAAATGTAAGCAGGGAGAGAGAGAAGAGTGGAAGGGATAGAAAGTGCTAGATGAGGTAAATGCAGTTTATGCTCTACGTCGTTATTTTTTGAGAACAAAAAAAGTTGTTGAGAGACGATTTTTGTTATTTCTATAAAGAAAACTTAATATTAAACTGTTGAATCTGTAATTTAGTAAACGATGTTTGATATCGCTGCATCGACGACTATTTATGGTGAACGACGAATGGTTAATACAATGAATACATTTCCTCTTTTTTTTTCTTTTTTTTAAAAACATAAATACCTTCAAGATATTTCGGAAATCAGAGTGAGCTAGAAAAATGACGGAAAAGGCAAAAAAAATATCTGCGGAAGAGAGAAAGGAACAGGAGAGGGTTCTGTTGTTGTTGTCCATGCAGACACGTACTCACACACACACACACACACACACACACACATGCACAGACATACACACACACACACATGCACAGACATACACTTATAGAGACATACATATACAGAGACATACACGTACAGAACCAAACACATAATCACAGATATAGATGCGTACATGAACTTATTCAGACAGTTACACACACATCGGCTTATACACAAAAGCTAAGGTGTAAATGCTCATCTGGCTTCCATTTCTTTCATACGTGGACGCTGCTGGACTAGACGAGATGAGCAGAAATTGAAATTTTTTTTTTGAAATAATATGAATAGTTATTAACATATATAGAATGTAACAATAGAAAATGATTTTTATATGAAGAGCATACGGATAGATCACGTTAGAACCATTTATGGAAGAGGTATGACTGCAGAGGGAGCAAAAGAGAGAAAGAGAGAGAGAGGTAGAGAGAGAGAGAGGTAGAAGGGAAATCGTGCAGTCGCCCACAAGATCACGTCATCTCATTTTCTCAAAAAAAAAAGAAAAAGAAATATTACCAGAGCAGATAGCGATACAGAAAGGTGCTCGAAAAAAGTGCTGTATGAGTGATAAATGGATAGAGAGAGGTATAGGGAGAGTGAGAGAAAGAGGAAGAGGAGGAGAAAGAGAGAGAGAGAGAGAGAGAGAGAGAATGAAAGGTGAAGAAATTTCTTTTTGTTTCATATTTAAATATAAAATTTACATTTAAATTCATTGCTAATCTCAATATGTTTTGTTTTCAACTGAAAAAATAAATTAATCAGAAAAACTAAAAGTCAAACAGAGAAATATAATATTTAATGAATAACATATGAAAGAATTGGAGGATTTTTTTAACTCTACTAAATCAGCAAGACGGACATAGGAAGAAGAGGGGGAAAGCCCCCCTTCATGTCCTTAAGAGAGAAGAAAAAGTAAAAGAGTAAATGGGATTATGAAGTGACGGACAAGCAAGAATTATTTCCAAATCTTTTCAAATAGTCGTTCAAACAAGAGACAATACTGAGAGAGAGCTTTTACAGGAAGTAGCATCTTCACCTTGCCAACCAGTTCACTCATTTCATCTCATTCTTTAGCTCCTCCTGCTCCATACCACCATGTATCTCCAGCTATCTACTCTTCTTTTTCTTTCGTTCTCTTCTCACTCTCTCTTTTCCTCATTCTCTAATGGTCTCTCTCTCTCTCACTTTGTAGTTTACATTTATCCTGAAGAGAGAAGGTAATGATGGAAAAGAAAACAAAAACTTCATGGAGGTCAGTTTACAAAACCAAGAAAAGTATTCAGAACTTATGGATGATGTTTGTCACTCTGAAGTAAGAGGAGAACCAAAGAAGCTCATTCATTATGCACGACAACTATGGTTCCAGGCAGCTTTATTTCACATGGAACTCGAAGAAAAAAACTTAAGAAGAATACGAAAATTTGTCATTTAACAGATTTTTATCGCTTTTTCGGAAAGAATTAAAAAAACAAAAACTGAAGCTTTTTTCGGAAAAGTATAGAAGTAGAATGAGACACACACGCAGTGAGAGGATGAATACGGTGATGAGGTAAGTGAAGAGGAATAAAGAGAATGAAAGAGGTAAAGAGAAAGACGACGAACAAAGTTACGCATTCAGATGGATGTAAAGATCCTCTAACACTTGAAACATACTCAAGTTGGGGTTGATCAAGCTGGACCCTGACTTTTCAATTCGTCAAAGCTTGAAAATATATAAGTTCCTGAATTACATCTCCAACCACACATCCATATATCACATGATAACTTCTGAGGAAGAGAGGATGAACAGAGAGAGAGGGGAAGAGAGTGGAAGAGAAATAAAAAGAAAGAAGAAGAAAGTAAAAAAAACAATGAATGTTTCTGATTTTTGGTGGAAAAAAAACGAATTGAAAAATGTTGGAACAAAAGGTATTCGGAAGTTACGATGACGAGAGAATCTC